CAGCTGAAAGTCCGGTTTCCCGACCATAGAGTCTCCTCCTAGCGCCGCATCCTTTTTCCTCTACGTGTCCTAACTGAAAGCCCTATCAATTGTGAAGCTGACTGGAAAACCCGCCCCTTGCCATAGAGTCTCCTCCTAGCGCCGCATCCTTTTTCCTCTACGTGTCCTAACTGAAAGCCCTATCAATTGTGAAACTGACTGGAAAACCCGCCCCTTGCCATAGAGCCTCCTCCTGGTGTGCCCTGCTTCCCCCCTAACAGAAAGCTCCTCTCAAAATTGTGGTGCTGACTGGCAACAGGCAGTGGCAGCAGAGGGATGAAAGAGCCACATGCAGCTCCAGAGCCACTGTTGCTAACCCCTGGGTTAGATGATCACATAGATATCCAAATCCTTATACTAATACAGTTTGTGTAGCAACATGGGGATACCAAACAGGACAATCACTACATGCTGCTGCATTTAATTTATATATTTGTTTACAAAAATTTAGAGAACATCTAATTCCCAATGATTCTGGGCACTTTACTACATTCTGGATTAACTACATTTCCAAGTAGTCTTCAAAGGCAGACCTATTTAGAACATGTAGGTGAGATAAAAGGATACATACCAGTGGTGGGTTCCGGGCGGTACGGCGCAGTATGGGCATACCAGTGATACTTCAGAGCAACAGCCACCATACCGGAACGGTGGCTCGTTTGGCCCACCCGCCCCACGTTCCTTACCGCTTTTTGATGTAAACGGGCAAATTGCGCACAAGCGCACAACATGTAGTGCCTGTGCAACCTCCGTCAAGGAGCTGGGTGTCGCAGGATGGTGGTGTGCGCATGCGTGTGCAGCACACATGCCTGATGAGGACACCTGACCCCATCGCAGCGTACTGGTTGCGATGGGATCCGGAACCCACCACTGGTATATACTATTTGACTACCCTAGAAGGATACTCTTTCAAGACTACCCTTGAATAATGTTTTATTTGATTTAAAAAAAACTGTGGATATCTTGCTCAATCGTACTTATACAGAGAGATCTGAACCAGTTGAGCATTTGTTTATAGGCACAATGTAGGATGTTAAATCATTAAACAGTTTAAGACCTTACTATCTGAACACCTCCTTTTCCATTATGATCTGTCCAGTTGTTATGATCTGTGGGAAAGCCACTTAGGTCCACTGTGATCAAAAGGACTGACATTTACATCATGTTAGAATTTCTAAGAAACTTTTATAAAATTATCTACAGTTGGTAAATGACGCCAGAAAAATTTCATATAGTACTTCAAATTTGTTTGGGAAGTGTGGAACACATGAAGAGACATTTTATCATTCTTGGTGGACTTGTAAACATGCTAGAAAATTATGGGTTCAAATGCATAAACTAATATAAAGAACTTTAAAGACTATTATTCAACCGAAAATAGAGCGCTTCTTGCTGGATTAAAAGCCAAACAGCTAGAAAAGACTTATGGATAACTGTTTTTGTATCATTTTTTTAAAACTATTTGGTTAATATAGCAAATGTATTATATTCATACAAGAAGACTCTGAAATACCTACAATAAGAAATGGTTGGGGAAGTTGACAGAATTGGCATAGATGGAAAAACTGACTTGTTTAATTTTGAAAGGACAGTATCTACATTTGTGAGTGACTAAAACCTTTATGGACTTTTTGCTGAACACAGAAAAGGGTACTTGGGATTTTTGCATTTGATTATTAGAAAGGGTAGATTTTGGAAAGAGGGGAACTATGATGCAACCTTAGAGAGAGAGAGGATAAAATATGAATGCATTTGTAACTGCTATAAGGAATTAGTTCTTTATACGGTATATAGATATATTGTCTTTCATATATTTTTCTCCTTTCTCTTTCAGTTCTGTATTTTTTCTCACTTTTTTCTCTTTTCCTTAATTTTCTTTATCCACTTAAATGTTTTTTATTCTGTAAAATTTCTTTAATAAAAAAATAATGAAAACAGAAGATGATTCCAGTGTCAGTGGATTATCTATTCATTTTGCAGAAATAAATTGAGTTCCTTCCAGCCTACAGTATGTACTGCCTTTGGGGTTTTGCCTAGTTTTTCTCTTTCAGGGTTTAGAAAATATGTTAAAATAAATCTTTTTGGATTATTTTAGTGCTTATTTGTCAAATGTAATCTCTGCTTTAAACTTTTTTATATATTTTGTTTTTATATATAATTAGTCAAATTGGTGGGAGCCATGGGCAAAAACATGTTAATATTTGCCTTGTGCAATTCTATTCTGGGTGAGGGATATCTCCTTTATGTTCAAAAGTGCCCACAAATCAGAATACAGGAGTATATAAGTACATTTTCACTGTTTCCCTAACCTGAAATAATTACTGAGAAATCCTGTGCCTTATATATGTGATGCTTCTGCTTATATTCATACATTCAAATACTTTCTTCAGAATATTTAGTCATCACAATCCATACAGAAGAATTTCTGGAACAGAATATTGCTCCGGAATATAATCTGCATTATAATATAAATTATTTTGAAGATGTAACAAGCATTATTATTTTAGTTCTAGCATCATAAGACAGTTTCCTATTCTTCAGAGCAGGAGGCACAGCAGATAATGCACATGTTATATATATATATACAAAGCAGTGGCAATTTTTTTACTGCTGATTTGGGTGCACTTGTGCGCGATGCTTCTGCACATGTGCAGAAGCATCCGAGTGGGTGAGCGGAGCCTCCTTCTGCTGTCACTACCGGTTTGCCTGATCCAGGCCGAACCAGGAGCCAACCACCTCTGGCACAAAGGCTCAAGTTCAATCATATACATCTACATCTACAGGCATAGTAGAAGGAAGCCCTCCCTGAAAAAAATCTGAGTATTAAGCCAATCAGTTAAGGCAAGGGTGTGAAGCTCAATTTCATTGAAAGCTACATCAGGATTGGGTTTGACCTTGGAGACCTGGGTGGGGATGGCCTTGGTAGGCATGACACGGGACCGCACCTCCACAGACAGTTCTGACCTAGGATTCCTGATACAGTAAAACGCACACGATTAATAAATGCTCTTTTTATTTCAAAGGCTGTGAATTATATTCATTCACAGCCCATAATGAGTTCCAAACAGTAGTAAAGAGTTCTACAGCAGGCTGCCAAAGTCCTTTGGGATAAGGCTGATAAGCACCAGCCTTTATCTTCCTTGAAAACACTGCCAAAGACTTTATTGGCAATTAGCTTGGCAAGGCCATACGGAGCAAAAAGTCCAAATGTATTTTCAGAAGGTAAACTGACCAGCATGAACCAAGTTGCTTCCTGCAAAGGCTCATGTACCTTTGCTCCTCCTTTATGTCCTATGGGGGGGGGGGCAATCACCTCCAAATCCTACTCCCGAGTCGTCCCTTCTGTTTTAACTGTTCTTGCTTTCTGGCAGCTCTACACATGCGCGCACTGGGAATAGGGGGAGCCTGTTCCTCTGCCTCACTGCTCTCCGACACAGCCGGCAGCACATAACTCCCAGATGGCCCTGGCCCCCTCGCTGCCTCTGACACAGAGCTCTCATCTGAGTCTTCCCCAGACTTCCAGAGTGGCTCATGTTCCTCCCCAACCTCCCCACTGTCTGACTCTGCTGTGAGCTCCACAGGCTGCTGGCGGACCACAACAGAGGCATGGTTTTATAAACTTATAAAAATAGAGAGGCGTACATTTCTGTGATTTAGGTTTTTTTAATACTTACTTGATCTACTTGATCACTTTCTGAGAGAGAGGCCAGATCAAGAAACTGACTCCACAGGAGGACTAGAATTATAAATTATTGACGTAGGCAAGCTTGATGGGTAAGATATTTTACTTTTTCTCCCTTTTATAATCTTCCGAGTCAAGGATGGCCTCCTGGAGCACTCTGGAGGCCCTGTTTTGGGCCTGGAAGACCTTCTGGAGCACTCCGGAGGCCAAAAGCAGTTATTGGGGGGGTTGCACGCGTTCCACCCACACCCCATTTTTGCTGGCAGAGACACTGTGGGCTGGTCCTTTGCTATTTCCAGACTGGCCCCACAGGCCAGATCTAAGCACTACGGATCCGGCCCGCGGGCCTTGAGATTGACACCCCTGAGTTAAGGTGTTTACTGCAGTGGAAGACTAAGGTCACATTCAGGAGAAAGCAACTATGTTCCTATGAAAAACTCACCTATCCATTCAGTATAATGTCTCTGGTGAGTCTACATTTTATGATGGCAGAAAAACGTCAATCTTATAGATTCATGCAGTAGTATTTACTACTGTTTCATCTTTCTGAAGAGCCGAGGTGGCGCAGTGGTTAAATGCAGCACTGCAGGCTACTGCTAGATCAGCAGTTCAGCGGTTCAAATCTCACCGGCTCAGGGTTGACTCAGCCTTCCATCCTTCCGAGGTGGGTAAAATGAGGACCCAGATTGTTGGGGGCAATATGCTGACTCTCTGTAAACCGCTTAGAGAGGGCTGAAAGCCCTATGAAGCGGTATATAAGTCTACTGCTATTGCTTTCTGAATAATATTTTAAAAGAAAGCTTCAGATATTTCTTGAATAAATATACATCAAACAGCCAGAAATAATATCAGAAATGGAACACCAGCTGGGCAGAATATAGATGACAAACAGGAAGAACATGAAGAAGATATCCCACCCTCAGAATAGAATAGAAGCAAAATGCAAAATTACATCGAAAAAGTCTGGCCCTAAGTTCTTGTTTTGTTGTTGTTACAGGACCATCTTGGCAGCTTGAATACTGGCAAGGAATTGACATTACTTCTTGTTTCACCATGAAAATGTCCTGGGACAATTGATTGATAGCTTTGGATACCATCCAATAAAACTATGTCCAAGGGACAGCTCTGTGTGATTTCAAGCAATTGTCCATAATGATCTTCTAAACAGATTTTAAAATAACTCTTTATAGCAATAACCTAAATCACTGTTTCTCAACCTTAGCAATTGTATGGAATTAAAGTCCACACATCTTGAAAATTCTCCATGTTGAGGAGTATTGATCTAAACCAGTGTTTCTCAACCTTGGCAACTTGAAGATGTCTGGACTTCAACTCCCAGAATTCGCTGGCTGGGGAATTCTGGGAGTTGAAGTCCAGACATCTTCAAGTTGCCAAGGTTGAGAAACACTGATCTAAACACACTGTAAAGTGTGAGGGTGGAGGTTTGTTCTCCGAGCTTGTGGGTTGGGTTCTGAATGTTTCATTATCAGGCTAGGTAACATCATCAGCGGAATTTAGAGAATTTCAGTGCCGGTGTTGTTCTGCTTCTAAGGGCTTTGTGTGGTCAGCAGGTCTTGTGATGGGAGGATCAAGTGAAGGTCTCGTGATGGTCTAGTGATGGGTCTTCTGATGAGTCAGGTATAGGTCACGTCAGGTGAGGGGCTTATGATGTGAAAGTCATGTCAGGTGAGGGTCATTGGGAGGTGAAGTGTTGGTTGGGGAGGTTGTGTGGGTTTGTTGAGGGTCAGTGCTGTTGCTAGTTGGTTGTGTGATTGATTTAAATTCTCAAGACCTGCTGACCCCATGAAGCGAAAGACAAATTCAGACACATGTTCCAATATGTAGTGAAAAGGAAAGAGGTACCTATACAAAGCCCAGTTTTTGCTGAGGATTTTAATAACATTTTATTTTGACTTTCAGGACCCTTTGATATAGTCAGGAGAGGACTTTTTTGTTGTGGTGGTGGTGACTTGGCTCTTGAAATTGCTTCAGAAATGTTCAACTGGTCTCTGACTACCAGCTTTTGAGATAGTCAATTTTATCTAGGCAAGGTATTTCAAGATCTGGAATCATTGCACCTTGTAATGGTACATTTTATTTTGTCACAGTGGCATCCACAGCTGCTGTGATGTTTGTCAGAATGAGAAAAGCAACATTGTGCTGCAAGCCCCATCCCTTTTGAAGGTACATGCAACTTCATGACGTGTAGAAAAGGGATGGAGTTTGCATTAGGACACCAAAATGATTTTATTATGATCTCCCACAGCCTTTGTTTTCCATCTCCAGCAGAAAATAAACTATTCTTTTTATGACATTGAGTAAGAACCAGCTAAAAAAACAGGACAATTTTTCTGCACAATACTAAAACATTTACCATTTGTGGACTCTGTAGTTATTATTCCCAAATTTATACATACCTGCCAGGGCTCAAACTCATCAATGGTGGCACATTTTGGCCCAGAAATAAAGGGTCCTTTATCAGTTTCACACATGCGCAATTGATCGAGGCCATAAGCTACGGCAAAAACTGCTTTGTAGACATTATATGTTATTCTAAGTTCTGAAATATCCAAATATGTATTCTTAAGGTCTGCAAGTTTCTCCTTTCCAGTGCATGGCTTCTTTGAAGAAAAATCGACAATGTTCTCGTGACCAGTTACATTTTTCCGGTTGTCCGTATTATATGATATGTTGACACCAGGCCAGGTGCAGTTGAATGCTGACTGCCAAAATTCGATTGTCATATCATTGGAATCCGTATTTGGGTTTACTTCTAGAAGAAATTCCTTGAAGCCTGGAATTTCACCCTTTCGTATCCCAAAGCCAATTGCCCCGCCAAGAAGCGGAAAATATTCAGGTCTAGCAATTAAGGCAGAAGTGACCCATGCCTCACTTGCTATCCACGTTATGCCAGTGATATTATTAACCATAAGCTCTTCAACTAGGGGATGGAAGTCAATATCAGAAGAATAAACCACAATGACAGTAGCGTTGGTCTCTTTTACAATATCAACAACTGCTTTGAGCTTATCTCTGTTATATATTTTAGGAATTGTTTCAGAAAAGGCAATGCAGGTGTAGAGGTTCTCGACAGATTCTTTAAAAGCTTTGACACCATATTTCCCGTAATCATCATCGGCAGCAATGGTTCCAACCCATCTCCAACCAAAATGGTGAATTAAATCAGCCATCCCCCGTGACTGTACCTTATCGCTTGGAATAGTGCGGAGATAGGTTGGGAACTGATATTTATCAGAGAGAAGTGAGGAGGAAGAAGCATAACCAACCTAAGAAAGGAATAAAGAGAAAGAACAAACAGATCAACACAAGCTATCATATGTGACCTCAAGGGCTAGGAGTTCTTCAGTTAGATTCTTAGCACATTCAATCCTATCAACCCATCTGCCATGGATAGACTTTCTTGCTGGTTTTGTAGAAAGGGCAACTTTTCTAGAAATCTTTAGTTTAGGAATCAGTTCAGCATTTCCACTGAAAAGTCTCAGGTGAAAAGGGCAGGAAATATGACATATGCCCAAGTTCCTGGAGAAACAATATAGTCTAAATGGACAAAATAGAGCTGCAAGTCTGCTCCTTAGACTGTTTCCCTATGTTTTGTTAAGGAGGCCAACAAATATTATATATATCAGAGGGTGCAAGGGCACCATATAAATAAATCAGCACCCATTTAAGTGAATGGCAGACATGAGTGCACGCCACTCGTGTAAATGGAACTGTAAACGCATGCCAGCCCCTCATGTGGAACCACCTGCTCTCCTCCCCCCCACCCACTCCCCGCCAGTCTGTAAACTCATTGGGAAACTCTGTTTTAAGGGACTGGCAAGATGTCAGCCACTGTTTCTCCCCTTAAAACCCCTTCAAATGAAAAAAAAAATGATGGCAATTTCTGGAGGGCACTCAAGATTCCCATGGGCAAAATGCTGCCTGGAGGCCTAAATTTGAGCAGCTACACTCTGGACTCTGGACTTTCTCTTCCATTCTTGACCTGGCAAAGAAATAAACTGTCATGAAATTTGCTCCCCCACTGAGGATTCCTATTCGGTTTCTAATGTCTCTCCAGTAGAAGAGAATACATGTAGCTCAGGGCTGAATTGAGAAACCACTCTCTGAGCTTCTTTGTTTGTTTGCAGATGTCTTTTTACTGAACTAGGGAACATCATCAGTGCTGGTAAGTGTGGTATTTTCTCCCTGTTAAATCTGTCTTTCTTACTAAAGACAAGATGATGGCAACATCCTGGAGAACGTGAGAGTAAAATATGCTGCCAGGATATACTTGCACCATAGTTAATTGCACACGGGGGGAGGGGGGAGGTTTTGGTAGCTGTCAGATATCAATATATGTGAATTATATCAGATATAAGAGCAGTGCCTTATTACAATCTCCTTTGCCTTATTATTATTATCACAACAACAGAATTGTATCACAGCGGCCAGTTGTTTCGCCGGATTTGGCATTGATTACTAGTTGGGCCCAACCCAGGAGCCTAGGACGTCGTAACGTATTTTCGTAATATGCGTGCGGATCCAAGCAGTGCGGCTTTTTGCATTTGACTGATGGTGATTTTGTCAATTTTTAATTGTTTTAAATGTAATTCCAGTGCTTTTGGAATAGCACCCAGTGTGCCAATTACCACTGGAATTACCACTGTTGGTTTGTGCCATAATCGTTGAATTCCAATTTTTAAGTCGTGGTATTTCATGATTTTTTCATATTCCTTCTCACCGACCTGCTATCACCTGGTATTGCGATGTCTATGATTGTAACCTTATTTTTCTCAACCAGTGTGATGTCTGGTGTATTATGCGCCAGTATTTTGTCCGTTTGTATACAAAAATCCCATAAGATCTTGACCATATTATTATTGTTGTTGTTGTTATTGTTATTCTAATTTTGTAGAAAGCAAAACATCTGAAATAGCAAATGCTATTGGTTCTGAAATGTTTAGAACTAACTTTGGACTAATTATGGGAGAGCACTATGGAACTGCAGTAGGCTCCTTGTAGCTGTTCTAATATATTAAATCAGAGAGCCAAGGTGGCGCAGTGGTTAAATGCAGCACTGCAGGCTACTTCAGCTGACTGCAGTTCTGCAGTTCGGCTGTTCAAATCTCACCGGCTCAGGGTTGACTCAGCCTTCCATCCCTCCGAGGTAGGTAAAATGAGGACCCGGATTGTTGTTGGGGGCAATATGCTGACTCTGTAAACCGCTTAGAGAGGGCTGAAAGCCCTATGAAGCGGTATATAAGTCTAACTGCTATTGCTATTGCTATATTGATAACAATTCCCATGGAAAACTAAACATTTTCAAATTGTTCACAAAGGCTGGTGTTGGGCTGGTGTTGGAGAAGAATAATTCTATCTGTGATCCCACTGTTCCCCTACCTGACACATCCTCCTGACAAATAATGTTTATGGGATTTATTGTACCTGAGGGAAATAGTAAAGCCCAAGGATTCTTGAGGAAGCAATGGAAAGAGTCGATCCTCCAGCTCCAATAATTGCAGATAAAGGAGCACCGGTACTGCATCGGAAGACAGGCGTGGTTTCATTTTGACCGGTGAGGAATGCCAAAGAATTCTCCACTGTCTTGGACATTGTAAAGCATGTGTCATAAATTTGATAGCCGAGAGTTATGTTTGGTAGAATATCTTTTCTTTTATTAATATCGTTGATGGCATGTATCATGGCTTTGACCCAACGGTAACCTCGAAAATTAAACCTGCAGAGTAAAAAGAGGTTGAATGCATGCAATCATGTCAGTATGTTAAGTCAAAATGACACCTTCCATATTTATCACAGTTATTCAAATAAACAAGTATGTTGTTTATGAAGACTCTTCTTTATATCTTAATATCATACATTGAGTAATCCACAACTTGCAGATACTATGTGGCTACTCTCCGGAGGTTTTTTGATGATTACATGGGGTTTGGGAGGGATAACGAAAGAAATAGATGGTTTAATATTTTGTCCCTCACTCTTGTGTGAAGATACCACCTCTATATAATTCAGGTAAGAGAGGGCAGATTGCAACTACATAGTTCTATGGAACCCATCAACTTATCTTGTCATTGCACACCTTATCATGCTAATTGCCACTAAATTGTGATGCAGTTTCCCACCAATCTGAAATAAGAATATATCCCCCCAAAAGCTTAACACAATTTAAAAACTGCCCCCCCTCCAAACAATAGGGAGGGGGGAAATCAGTGATCTTGGTTTGCTAGCTTATTGAACCCCAGTGATAATCCAAGCTGTCAAACCATTTAGAATTTTGGTTACACCTGAGATATAGCATTGTTATTAGTGTATATCAGAGATCCAAAACAGTAATTATATAAAGTTTTATATCACATCATGTTTTATATTTGCATTCCAACACAATTGACCTTGCTGCCCTATTTTTCTCATCAGAAATCTTATGCTGATGTGACAGGTCACATCCAAGAATAGAACAGTTTCTTGGATGTAATACCAGAGATGTTTGTCACGTAATGGAAATAAAACTCTGCAATGTACCAAAACAAGTTTACTGGCTCATAAACAAATAAAACAGCTCAAAAATATCCTGCATTCTCCCCTCAAAAGGAAGAAAAACACAAAATATCTCTCTCTTTACAGATGTATTTGAGAATAAGGATGCCCAAATTCCTGAATATGTAAATGTGTTTACAATTTGGTACTTGGGAAGGACTTTTAAAAGATGTACATTAGAGCAAGATGTATGTAATAAATATAATACATAATAACGTAATATTCTTAATATAAAATGATATTTATAATATATATTGTAAATATAAAATAATAGAAGGAAGTATTATTAAATATGTTGGCCGCCTTGAGTTATTTATAAAAATAATAAAGGTGGGATTAAAAAAATCTAAATAACTAATTAAATTTATGCATATCTGTGAGTGTTTAGATATATTATTTAGAATAGTAACAAGTATACCATAAATTTTCTGGTATTTATAAAAAATGAGTTCAGGAAAAACCTAATGTCAGCATTCCAAGTAATACAGCCATTGAAAGCAGAACTCCAAGGCAGGTAGATTCCTTGAAAGACATGTTTATTGGATACATCTCATTGGCACAGCCAATGAAAACCAACTCTGACAGTCCCTGCAGTTTTCACCTAATTAAAAGAATAAAACTCCCCTCCCCCAGGTGTCACCGGTCACATTGTCCAATGAAGATTGAAGGCAGGCTCCTCTCCTCTTTTAACAGCCACCTATTTCAATGACCTTGGTTCCCACCGAAAAAGCTTTTTGTTTTGATTGTAGCCAGGCTATCTTCCTTCCCGTGACCCGTCAAAACCGCGGT